TCGAGGCTGTGGTGGCCGGCAGCGGCCACTGCACTCCAGTCTGGGTGACAGAGTGAGACTCCAACTCAAAAAAAAACAAAAAAAGAGTGGTTCTTGGCCAGGTGTGGTGTGGCTCAAACCTATAATCCCAGCACTTTGAGAGACCGAGGTGAGAGGTTTACCTGAGCTCACAGGTTTGAGACCAGCCTGGGCAACTTGGTGAGACCCCGTCTCTACAATAAATCAAAAAATTAGCCAGGCATGGTGGCGTGTGCCTGTAGTTCCAGCTACTTGGAAGACTGGAAGTATTGCCTGAGCCAAGCAGGTCGAGACTGAGGTGGCTGTGAGCATGCCACTGCATTCCAGTCTAGTCTGGGCGACAGAGTGAGACTCCAACTCAAAAAAAAAAAATAGTTCTTGGCTAGGCATGGTGGCTCACACCTATAATCACAGCATTTTGGGAGGTGGAGGTGAGACAATTGCCTGAGCCCAGGGATTTGAGACCAGCCTGGGCAACTTGGCAAGACCTTGTCTCTACAACAAATCAAAAAATCAACTGGGCATGGTGGCACACACCTAAAGTTCCAGCTACTTGAAAGGCTGAAGCAAAAGGATCGCCTGAGCCCAGCAGGTTGCGGCTCTGGTAGCCATGAGCATACCACTGTACTTCAGCCTGGGTGACAGAGTGAGACTCCGACTCAAAAAAATGGTTCTTTACTCAGTTACTTACTTAGTTGGATCTTAGATTCTCAGAGTATCAGGTGGAATGAGAAGTAAAGGAGTTCTAAGGGCTCTTTGGCAGTTGGGAGTTGCCAGGGAGACATACCTTTCTTGTGTTACTGTACATTAAAAAGCATTGTTCCCATTTTTGTTTTTCTTCCTTTACATCTTGGTTATGTTCACTATTTTTGCTTTAGGCACAGCTGTCAACTCAAGAGAAAGAAATGGAGGAGCTCATTCAGGGAGATCAAGATAAGACAGAGCAGTTAGAACAGCTGAAAAAGGAAAATGGCCAACTCTTTCTCAGTTTAACTGAACAGGTAGAGTCATGGAAGAAAATAACATTTTTAGGAATTTGCAAGAAACTGTACATTGTTCTTTCTTTTCTTTTCTTTTTTTTAATTTATAGATGTGGAATACAATTCAGGGTTAGGTATGCAAATGTTGATTATGCAAGTACCCTTATTGATAAGGTATGCCCCTCCTTCCCCTAGCAGTTTCCTTCAGCTGCCAATCCCACCCCCCATTGTTCTTTCTTTATCATATAATTGGCCCTGGGCAAAGTCTCAGAGGAAGTCATTTCAGAGGAACTCATTTCAGAATGAGATCTACCATGGCTTTACTTAGAAATTGGTAAGAGAAGACTTGCCTCTGCGGGGTACAGTGGCTCTCGCTTGTAATCCCAGCACTTTGGGAGGCTGAGGCAGGAGGATTGCTTGAGCCCAGGAGTTCAAGACCAGCCTGGGCAACATAATAAGACCTTGTCTCTACAAAAAATGAGCCCGACAAGGGTACCTGCATAATGAACATTTGTATACCTAACCCTGAATTGTACCCCATATATTTAAAGTTAAACATTTTTTTTAAAATGAGCTGGGTACTTGGGAGGCTGAGGTGGAAGGATCACCTGAGCCCAGAAGGTTGAGGCTGCAGTGAGCCATGGTTGTGCCATTGCACTCCAATCTGGGCAGCAGTGAAATCTCAACTCAAAAAAGAGAGAGAGAGAGAAGATTTGCCTCTCCCTCTGAATCTTGCTCACTTGTTAGCATAGCAGGTCCTTCCCTGGTGCATGTGTGTGTGTTGAGTGCATGTGCATGGGTGCATGCACACATGTGTGTTTCCATCAGTGGTAACTAAGATTTGTTTTTGTGCAGACAGAGCATCAGAAGACGCTCAAGCAGACAATGGAAGAGATGAAGCGGAAAGAAACTACCATAGTGAAGAGGCAACAGGAGTTAATGGCATGTCTGTGTTTATATGACTATGTGGGAGGGAGTCTAAAGAAAGGAGGGGACATGGGTCTATTTGCAGGTGCTGGAGAGGGTAAATAAGACAGGTTGGCATAGCTTTCACCTCTAGATGTTTTGCTTTCCACCCAAAGGACAGTGAATCTGCCATCTACAGAATGTTTAGGAGAGGTAGGCATTGATAAATGCTAAAGGAATATTGAAAGTTAAACTTTGCTGTGTGCATTGGCTCACGCCTGTAATCCCATCACTTTGGGAGGCAGAGGCAAGAGGATTGCCTGAGTCCAAGAGTTTGCAACCAGCTTGGGCAACTTGGCAAGACCTCATCTCTACAATAAATCAAAAAATTAGCCAGGCGTGGTGGCACACACCTGTAGTTCTAGCTACTTAGAAGGCTGAGGTGGAAGAATTGCCTGAGCCCAGCAGGTCGAGGCTGTGGTGGCCGTGAGCGTGCCACTACACTCTAGCCTGGATGACAGAGTGCGACTCCGACTCAGAAAAAAAACCAAAAAACAAGTTAAACTTCATGGTGGGTTTATAGTAAGAGATCCTTGAATATCAGCAGTTATCAGCTTTATTAATTATTCTGAATTAAGCAATATAGTAATGAAATCCTAATTGACTAATAATATCTTGTAATGTATTGTTGGAAAAGAAGACTCAGGGTGCCAACAGGGGCCTTAAAGCCCCATTTTCTGAATTGATCTAAGGCCATGAGAACTCCTGATGTCTGAGGGATAGCCAGCTATTGGGATTGTAACTCACATCATATATCCTTCATCTAGTCACTTATTATTCAGTCAATTATTGAATACCTATTATAACAAGATACTGTATGCTTTAGCATGATACTGGAAAGAGTAGAACAAAACTTGCAAATCAGCAGCTCACGGTCAGGAAATGTTTTATTTGACCTTGATTTTTTTTTTTTCTTAGTAATTAGAATTATAGACCTGGCATGGTAGCTCATACCTTTAATCCCAGCACTTTGGGAGGCCAAGGCAAGAGGATTGCCTGAGCTCAGAAGTTCAAGACCAGCCCGGGCAACATGCGAAACCTTGTCTGTGCAATAAATCCAAAAATTAGCTGGGTGTGGTGGCACGCCCCTGTAATCCCAGCTTCTTGGGAGACTGAGGCAGAAGGATAGCCTGAGCCCAGGAGTTCAAGGCTGCAGAGAGCCCTGATTATGCCATTGCACTCCAGCCTGGGCAACAGAGTGAGATTCTCACTTTAAAAAAAAAAACAAGGAGTAAAAGGTTATTAAAACTTCCTTCCTCCTCAAAAAAAAAAAAAATTAGTTACCAATATGTAAAAATAGGAATATTTCCCATACAAAATCTGTATTTCTATTTTTTTGAAAAATTAGAAAATCTGGCAATGGCTGGGCATGGGAGCTCATACCTATAATCACAGGTATGAGGCCAAGGTGGAAGGATCTCTTGAGCCCGTGAGTTTGAGACCAGCCTGGGCCAAAAAGTGAGACCTCGTCTCTACAAAAATAAAAAATTAGTTGGGCTTAGTGGCACGTGCCTGAGTACCCCAGCTACCTGAGAGGCTGAGGCAAGGGGGTCACTTGAGCCCAGGAGTTTGAGGCTGAGGTGAGGCCACTGCGCTCCAGTCTGAATGACAGAGTAAAACCCCCAACTCAAAAAACAGAAAATCTGAGTAGCTGCTACACCCCTCAGATGGGTCTTGTGTTGTCCATTTTACCTCAGCCTTCACTGTTTTGTTGCCTTCAACTCCTTCATTCGATTCTTATTACTTGCCTGGTCTCTGTAAGCACATTCTACTTTGTGACCTCTGATGTAGCAAAGAAATTCCCATTTGAAATAACCTATAGTCATTTAAAGGTTGGAACTTCCTAGAGATGGGTATGGGCTCCCTTGGTTTCCGTGGAACCTTTTGCAAGACCTAGGAGCTCCCTACCTGATGCGAGTAATTCTTTATTCCTCACACATCCAGAAGGCCTCTAACTCTGAGGACTGTGTATCTTATGCTTCAGGAGCCTAGGAACAAGAAAACCGCAGTGGAGGAGCAGTTAGTACATGAGGTGGAACGTCTAAAGGCAAAGGTAGAGGCCGGGAAAGCCTGTTTCTTAGAGAAGTACAAAGAGTGCCAACGACTTCACAAACAGATCAGGCAGCTCAGGGCTGCTGCACTGGTAGGTGATAGATAAGGGGCCCAGCAAAGTGAGAGGTGTGAAGATTGGTGGTTCTCAGAGCCATCCCAGAAGATCACATACCTTCTTTTAGGAGAGAAATATATTTTTCTCCTAAAAGAAGGGATGGGCCAAGCGCAGTGGCTCATGACGGTAATCCTAGCACTTTGGGAGGTGGAGGCGAGAGGGTTGCCTGAGCCCAGGGGTTCAAGACCAGTCTGGGCAACTTGGCAAGTCTTCATCTCTACAGTAAATCAAAAAATTAGCTGGGTGTGGCAGTGTGTGCCTGTAGTCGCAGCTATGCAGAAGGCTGAGGCATAAGGATTACCTGAGCCCAACAGGTCAAGGCTGGGCTGCAATGGCTGTGATCATTCCACTGCACTCCAGCCTGGGTGACAGAGTGAGATTCCAACTCAAAAAAAAAAAAAAAAAAAAAAAAGAGAGATGGAGTGTACAGCCAGTAACTAGCATGGGGTCTGTGGAAGTAAGAGGCCCCAGTTCAGCTGAGGGTCTCAGGGAAGGTTTTTTAACCATTCAGCAGGTATCTGTGCAGACTCAGAGAGCCCTTTCTTATTTCTGCCTTTTGAGGAAGTGAAGCAAGACCAGCAGAACCAAAAGGAGCCGGTGGGGAAGGGAAGCAAGGAGTCTGCAGTCAGCACTGTCATCGGGTAGCCCCCTCTCGCATTACTACCTCAGGGCCGGCTAGATGCGCACAGCAGTTTGGGCACCAGCATTCAAATAAAAAATCTTCTAACAAAAACCACAACTAGTAGGATTAGCTTGAGTGTGTTTGTGAAGTGTGCGTGTGCATGTGTGTGTGTATGTGTGTGTGTGTGTGTGTGCGCGCACACGCGCGTGCAGCATGCAGGTAGAGGATGGGAAGCAATGAAACCAGTTAGGTCACCCATCACACCGGGATGTGCAGAACCCCAACCTGGACCCCTCGTAGCAAGTGGACAAATGCTTTCCAGCATTTCTTCTCCCTGTGTGTAACCTAGGCCCAGATGTCTGTCCTTACAGGGGAAGGGACCCACCAGACTAGACCTAAGTGCTTCAGGTTCATTGCGTGTAGTGTTTATTCAAAACAGAGATGATTGTTTTCATGGTTGGGTGGGATTAAACAGGGCCCTGTTTATCCCTACTTCTGATAAGTTCATCTTGAGGTTTTCCCCAAGCTTACTTTTTTCTCTCTTTGATCTCTTATACTCCCAGTGAAACCCTCTTTAAGGAGATCAGGCCTTCGGGCATTTGGCTAAATCTCTTCCTCTGTGATCCAGCACCCTGCCCATAGCACAATTTCTTGCTCCCAGTGTCTTCTCCCTCACCTCAGTCCCACCCCTTCGGAAGGCCAGATCCTATACAATCTGCCACCTGGAACTCTAATTTGTGATCCTAATCCTCATTTATTTTTCATTGTTGACAGGATGAGAACGTAGACCTGTCGAGAAGGCTGAGTGAGAACAAGATTTTATACGATGCTCTGCAGAAAGAGAAGGAGAACGTGGAAAGAGAAAATGATGTGAGTATGTGAAAGAGGGCATAAAGCCTTGAGGTTTTAAGGGGGTGGAGCAGGGTGGCCCAGAGATGTCGTGATAAAATAAAAAGTTCAATAAAGGGCCTTTCCTGGGACAGCGGGTGAAACAGTTTACAAAGAGTAAACTTAATCTGGCTTCCTAATCTACCACAAAACCCTGTCTTTGTTCTACAACCGAAACTTGTTTGGCTCCTTGAAAGGAGCAGCACTGGTGAAGACCTAACTGGTTTTTGCTTTTAACTTAACAGCTCTTGTAAGTATCGCCTTGTGGATCAGGGGAGTAATATCCAGCATCACTTTGATGCTAGCTGGGGCCTCTTTTCCTTCAGCACAACTTTTTCCTTTTTCTCTGCTGCCAAACCAGGAACAGAAGTGGTGGTCTGAACCGGTGCTGGACCCATGGTAGGCCCCTAAAATGCTGTACATTCATTCATTCATCAGATTGTTCATTCATCCAACCAAGATTGATTATCCGCTGTGTGGTAAACACTAAGTTATTACTGATGAATTGAAAGTGATATGGCAGCAAATAGGGTGGTTGCACTTGAAGTCATTCCATGCTCTTGCCCAGCAACAAAGAATACGTGTCTGTGGATTCTGGCTGCTATTTCAGTATCTGCATTTCTGGCCGTTCTCCATCTCTACCCTCTCTATATGCTTCTAGGCTGTGCCTCCATGTGATCATTTTTCCTTTTTAAAATGTTGGTAGACTGGGCATGGCGGCTCATGCCTGTAATCCCAGGCCAAGGTGGGAGGATTGCTTGAGCCCAGGAGTTTGAAGCCAGCCTGGGCAACATAGCGAGACCAAGACCTCGTCTCTACAAAAAATTCAAAAAACTCAGCTGGGCGTAGTGGCGCATGCCTATAGTCTTAGCTTCTCAGGAGGCTGATGAGGAAGTATCACCTGAGCCTAGGAGGTCGAGGCTGTGGTGAGCCATGATCCTGCTACTACACTGCAGCCTGGGTGACAGAGTGAGACTCTGACTCAAAAAATAAATTTTGGAGCTGGGCTTGGTGGCTCAGCCTGTAATCCTGCGCCTTTGGGAGGCTGAGATGAGTGGATTGCCTGAGCCCGCGAGTTCGAGACCTGCCTGAGCAGCGAGACCTCATCTCTACAATAAATCAAAAAATCAGCTGGGCGTGGTAGCGCATGCCTGTGATTCCGGCTACTCGGATGGCTGAGGCGGAAGGATCGCCGGAGCCCAGCGGGTCGAGGCTGCAGTGGCCGCTCACGGCCACTGCACTCCAGTCTGGGCGACAGAGTGAGACTCCAACTCAAAAAAAAATAAAATTAAATAAATAAATAAATAAATTTTGGTAAAAATATGTTACATAAAATTTACCATCTTAATAATTTTAAAGTGTCCAGCTCAGTAGTGTTAAGTATATCACATTGTTGTACAACAGATCTCCAAAACTTTTCCATCTGGCAACACGGAAACGTTATACCTACTAAACATTAATTTCTTCTTGATAATTTCTTCTTTCATTGTGTCATCTGTGCCAGTGTGTTTCAAGATTGCCGATTCCTTTGAGTTCTATTTCTGGTCTTTTCATTCCCATTCTCTTGATTTAGACAAGCATACCTTAACTGTCAAATCCTTGGGTTAGTGTGATGGTAGGGAGCTGGGTACATACACAGAGGAGGGAGTCCTGGCATTTGGAAGCTTAATTGAGAACTGTTGTGAAACCCGTTTAAGATGTTAAGGGAGTCCGGGCACGGTGGCTCATCCCAGCACTTTGGGAAGTCAAGGCAAGAGAATTGCCTGAGCCTAGGGGCTTGAGACGAGCCTGGGCAACTTGGTGAGACCTTGTCTCTACAATCAATCAGGAAAGATTAGCCAGGTGTGATGGTGCATGCTTATAGTTCCAGCTACTTGGAAGGCTGAGATGAAAGGATCGCTTAAGCCCAGCAGGTCGAGGCTGCAATGGCCGGGAGCATGCCGCTGCCCTCTAGCCTGGGCGACAGAATGAGACTCCAACTCAAAAAGAAGAAAAAGATGTCAAGGGAATGTATCAGTTTTCTTTTCTTAAGTACTGTCTGTGCCACCTTTTCTTTCTCATTCCCTTCCTCCCACCCTGTCTTCCTCTCGCTCTCTCTGTTGGTATATACATTTGATGGGGTAAAACCTGAAGAAGAGAAGGTTATTTCAGGTGAATATTTACATTGTATAAGAAAATTGTTCTAGGAAAGAAATTCAAAGAAATAGTCTGCTCTCCATAATGTACAACAGGCCATGCCCAGCGGCTCACGTCTGTAATCTCAGTACTTTGGGAAGACAGAAGGATTGCTTGAGCCCAGGAGTTCAAGACTAGTCTGGGCAACATAGCAAGACCTCATTTCTACCAAAAATTTAAAAAATTAGCCAGGCATGGATTCACATGTCTGAAGTCCCAGCTATTCAAGAGGCTGAGATGGAAGGATTGCCTAAGCCCAGAAGTTCCAGGCTGCTATGAGCCAAAATTGTACCACTCACTGCACTTGAGCCTGAGCAACAGTGAGACCCCCTCAACTCAAAAAAAACCAAGCAGCTGGGCGCAGTGACTCACATCTGTAATCCTAGCACTTTGGGAGGCGGAGGCAAGAGGATTGCCTGAGCCCAAGGGTTTGAGAACAGTCTGGGCAACCTAGCGAGACCTCATCTCTACAATAAATAAAGATTAGCTGGACTTAGTGGTGCACACCTGTAGTTCCAGCTACTTAGGATCGCCTGGGCCCAGCAGTTCGAGGCTGCGGTGGCCATGAGTATGCCACTATACTCCAGCCTGGGTGACAAAGTGAACTCAAAAAAAAGAAAAAAAGAAATAATGTACAACAGTTTCAATTTTATTATAGCTCCTGCCACCTTCATGTATCCACCCAACTTTTGTTTCCCCAAAGTTGGTATATACTCAGATATAAAATTATTTTTTGTATTAATATAAACAAAATTCAGTAAATAGATTTAAATTCAGATATAAAGAACTCAGGTCTTTGGAATACTGAGACTGCTGCCTTCTCTGTTGAAGAATTTTGGACTGTCATTCATTGAGCTTCTCCAGTGCCAACTACCTGTAATGGCGGCCATTTTTGGTGTTGTCTTTCAACATGTCTGTACATCCTCTATCTTTAGCTTCTGAAGAGGGACAACAGCAGATTGCTCAGTTACATGGGTCTGGATTTTGACTCTTTGCCATACCAAGTGCCTGCCGCAGATCAAGAAGGTGCGGGACCAAATCCACAACTCGTCTACGGAAACCCATATTCTGGTGAGACAACTTTGCCAATTCTAAATGAAAGGTCCTCGCTACATCTTTTTCCCCTACTAAATCTTTTTTCTACCTGAGATGCTAATTAAGACCAGTCTCATTGTTAAGACTTGCTGGACAGAAGCTGAGGACCCGGTAGAAAGATTGCTGGGCGAGAAGTGTTAATTGAGAAATAAATCTGAATCCAGAAGACGCAAATCAGATCATTTGCCTAGAGGCAGAAGACACAAATTGAGTCCCGTGGCTATATTCCAAATGCATAAATCAGAGAAATGTCTTTATGTAGAAGATATACACATACAAAGCTGAGGAAGCTAATTAAGGCTTGGAAATGGAAGCATGGGAGGCAGGTTATGCTGGTGTTTACAGCAACTGCCCTGATGGCCTGACCCCAGGGTAGCAGGAGTATGTTCCAGACTCTGGGTGGTAGGATGGGAAAGGGCGGTGAAAACCATTCTTGTCACTCAAAGACTTGGAGTAACATGTCCTTGCCAAACAGAGAGCTTCCCCTTTTTGTCTCCAGAAGCAATAAGGACCTCATTTGCTTTCTTGAACAGTTTGAAGCAGTAATATTATCTTAAGAGTCAAACGAGTCAGGCACAGTGGCTCACACCTGTAATCCCATCACTTTGGGAGGTGGAGGCGAGAAGATTACCTGGCTCAGGGGTTCCAGACAGGCCTGAGCAACATGGCGAGACCTCATCTCTACAGTAAATCAAAAAATTAGCCGTGCGTGATGGCGCATGCCTGTGGTTCCAGCTACTTGGCAGGCTGAGGCGGAAGGATCACCTAAGCTCAGCAGGTCGAGGCAGTGGTGGCCATGAGTGTGCCACACCACTCCAGTCTGAACGGCAGTGAGGCTCCAACTCAAAAGCAAAAAAAGACACGAGATGTTTGCAACAGGCAGGGGAGCAAGCTTGTTTTTTCTTTAAAAATATGATTAAGCATTCAGTTTGAAAAATGATTATTCACATGGATACAGTCTATTCTCAGACTGTTTCCTTGTTAAATTTTTGATATTTTTATTAAAATCTCCTTTATTTCCCCCCTCTGAAAATAGGTTTATTGTTTTTTTTCTGACTATAAAACATAAGTATACATGGTTATTGAAAATGCCATCTCATTATTATTTTTCTTCCCATTGACCTAGATCCCCTCTTTCAGGAATAAATAGTATATATATGAGAGGAAGCATCAGAGACAGTAGAGAGAAAGGGAATAATGAATGGTACAGAAAATATCTACTAGAACACAGTTGGGGAATCTAGGGATGATATTTTTCTTTTTGAAAGCAGGATTTATGGAGGACAGAAAAAGCTCCCAGAGCAGGAGGGGACCCAAGGGGGTTGCCCGGGATAATATTTTTAATTGAGATCTTTTGTATCCCTCTCAGGTATTCAAGAAAGTTCTTCCCGCAGCCCGGTAAGTATTTGATTCATCAGCTTTCTCCCATCAAAGCCTTGAGGAAATTTCCCTTCCTGCTCCAGTTCATGGGAAAACTATAGGGAGCCTGGCTCATTTTGACTCTGTAAGTCGGCTGGATCAGTTTGTTCTGGGCCCAAGGCTGAGCCAGCCTGTTAGGTAGAGAGAAGAATGCACGGTTGCCAGGCATGGTGGCTCACACCTGTAATTCCTGCATTTGGGAGGCCAGGGTGGGAAGATTTCTTGAGGCCAGGAGTTTGAGACCAGCCTGGGCAGCACAGCGAGACCTCATAAAAGAAAAAAGAAAGCAAGCCCTTGAGTCGGTAACATACATAGGGAGGCAATGTGGAGCAGGCAGGTAGCCAAACAGGGTGTGTACGGTGCCCCTTTCGGGCTAGAAGCCATGTTGACTGTTTCAGCAATGTCAGGCCTTTTGCTCCCGGGGTTAGAGAAAGCCCCAGTGAGTATCTCCAAATGTACATTCTGTTCATTCACCCGCCATTTCTCCAGCACCTACCATGTGCCCATCATTATGCTAGGCACTGAGGATGCAGTGAAAAAACAAGACGGATGTTGTCTGCCACATATCACTACATTCTTACTGATCTTTTTGCTCTTCATCCAGCTCTCCATCAAGAAATGCCCCATCTGCAAATCAGACTTCGATGATGGTATCTGTGACCACACTTTGGAGCAAATGCAGGCCCTTTATTTGAGTTGTCCAATTTGTGACAAGATCTTCCCAGCAGAAGAGAAGCAGATCTTTGAAGACCATGTGTTCTGCCACTCTATATGAGTGTCCCGGCCTCCTGGATCTATGCTATACGTAGATTAGAACCTATAGCTTCTACTGTGAGATCCTGCCTCACCTGAAATCATGAGGGATTTACTCAGCCCTGATGCCCCAAGAAGTGGGGTAATGTCAATCAGCTGAAGGCTAGTGTTAAGGGCTTCTGCTTCTGTCCTTGCCTGGTCACTACCTGTAAGTCACATAACTCAAGCTGCATCATCCTCTCCCCTCTAGGGCCCATTCTTCCAAGGGTCTCCAGCACGAGGGCCCTGGGGCAGAATGGACCTGGGTATTCACAACAGGCCTGACTGGGAACTGAGTGAGTAGTTTTCCAAGTTGTCCCACTGCCATTCAAGGTCAGATTGTGGGGCTAGAGACTGATCAGAGGTTGAGAATTCCTTCCTCTTCTAACTGCATTAGACTAGCCGAAAATGGCACATCAGAGAAATTTGATGCCAAAGGTTTCTCATTTTAATTTCTCAGCTCCCAAAAGAGGCATCTTATTCCTGAACCATGGACAGGAAATATTGTTTCAATCACAAAAAAGCCTTCTTTGTGGATACCTTTGATGAACATTTTCTACTCTTTGATCTTTTCTATGCATTTAACTCTTATTGTCATTAAGTCCCTTCTTAATGGTTAAAGAGGAAACTGTATGGGTTTACCACTTTCTGAGCAGGTGAATTTGAATACGGATAGAATAATGAGACAGCCGGGCGTGTTGGCTCATGCCTGTAATCCCAGTAGTTTGGGAGGCTGAGGCAAGAAAATTGCCTGAGCTCAGAGATTTGAGACCAGCTTGAGCAACATGGTGAGACCTCTTCTCTACAGTAAATCATAAAATTAGCCGGGCATGGTGGTGCATGCCTATAATTTCAGCTACTTGGAAGGCTGAGGCAGAAGGATCGCCTGAGCCCAGCAGGTTGAGGCAATAGTGGCTGCGAGCATGCCACTGCACTCCAGCCTGGGTGACAGAGTGAGACTCTGACTCAAAAAAAAAAGAATAATGAGACAACTATTGTTAATCTCTTTAATACTAAAAATAAATTACTTTTCTATTTTAGGGACTTAGGTGATTTAAAATAAGCCTTTGGTTTATGGTCTTTAAGCTTAGAGGAAACATATGCAAAAGGACTATGGTAATGGCAGAGCTCACCAATGATTTCTTTTTACCTGTCTTCACTGTTCAACAAGAGAGTTTCCTGGCAGTTACCTTGATGTGGGGGGAGGCGACCAAGCATTAGTTGAGAAATCTGGTGCCCTGACTTCTTGCTCTCACTTTCCTACATTTTTTGAAAAGGAGCACTGTGAATTGTGGCACCCTTTGTGAACTAAATTCAGTACCCTCTATCCAGTTTGCCTAATTGAACTATAAGAAAGCAATTCCATTTTCTCTGCCCTCGGGGACTAAACAAATGGAAATGACTTGCAGGCTGTCTACCAGCTGGTCACCACAGAGACTTGACAGAAACTTCTGAATGATGTGAAACATGACATCAGGAATCAAATCAGGCCGAACCACTCCAGCGCTGCATTCCTACTGCAGTTAAGCCCTAGATTAACTATGTCATCTTAGTCACAGCTTCTTGCTTTGGTTTCACTCTTGATAAAATGAAGATGAAAGGATTCTCCTGCATCACCATTGCAGTAAGGTGCCTCCTGGACTTTTGTCGCCTGAAGAATGAGATGTGACATTAACACTAAACTCTAGAATAGAAATATAATGGGGAATGGCAATAAAGAAGTTTTTCTGGCACGAAACCTCCCTGCAAGAATTCTGTGACTCCCCAGATAGCGCCAGTGAAAACTTGCAGTTTCATTTATTTTGTACTCGCCAGCTCATAATTAAGCACATGAATGGAAAGGAGCAGAGGTGTGCATGATCCAAGTGGGTGAATCCCTTTTTCTGGTGTATTATCCACCCTCTTGCCCCCGCTACCCTGAGGGTTACTGTGATTGTCAGCAGCAGGAGCCCTTGCACAGGCTTGGAGGAAAAAGCAGCTGAGGTGTTAATGACCCTTTTGCTGAGTGTAAAGCAAAGCATCTTTAACCACTGTTCATTATCCTCAGCTGCTCTTACCAAGGCTTGGAAGGGGGAAATTATGCTCCAGGAAGCTACTAGTGGGAAAGGAAACCATCAGTCTTGTATAATCCACTGCCCACCCTGATCCCCCTCCGTCCTCCTCCCACATAGTTTATAGCTGTAAAATAGCAAGTTATGGGACAAATAGTATTTAGATCTAAACTGGATTTTTTAATCCTTGTACTTGTCAGGGCAACAGGTTTTCCTTCCTACTTTATTTTCTCTTGGTCTAATATGAAAATGTCTTTGGGTTCCCTTAACACACTTACTTGGTGGGCAGTGAGGGGACCAGTTGCCCTGGCACATGTGTGAATAAGGCTAATCTGAAATCAAAAAAAGGTACATTAAGGAGGTCCTTGGTAAGCCTAGTCCCTTAACACCTGTAGTTTTAGCACTTTCCCCTGGTCTTGCTAAAAACCGGGATGAAATGTGATTGCCTTGACATTCAAATATCGTTTTCCTGTTTATGAGTGATTTTTTACAGTGTCAGTGGTTTGCACTGAGCTAAGCATAGTCTAAACCTCATCTCCTAGCAACCAGTGTGAATGGGAAGAAAGGCCAAGGCTAAGAGATGCAGTCCATTACCTAGAAAAAAAGCCAGATGGACTTCACATAGAGACAAGATCCAAGGAGATGTCCACCCAGTTACCCTGAGTTAACTAACAGGAGGTCATGAGCTCGTGGGATTTACACTGGCCCCAGCGCTTTCCTTAGCTGACCTCATATAAATACTCAAATAGCTTTACACCCTGGTAGTGCTTCATAACTTAGAATGTATTTCATTAATTCCCTATGCACCTCCCACAATCCTCTGCAACAAGGTAGCTATTAACTCACTTTTACAGATTAACATGTTGAAATGTGTAGAAATAACTTGCTAAAAGTAGAAACAAACCAAATGTCCGTTAGCTGATGAATGGATAAATAAAATATGCTATATCCATATGATGGAATATTATTTTTCAATAAAAAGGAATGAAGTACTGATATATGTCTCAATATGGGTGACCTTGAAAACATGCTGTATGGGCTGGGCACAGTAGCTCAGGCCTGTAATCCCAGCACTTTGGGAGGCCGAGACAAGAGGAATGCCTAAGCCCAGGGGTTCAAGACAAGCCTGGGCAACTTGGTGAGACCTCATCTCTACAATTAAAAAAAAAAAAAGCCGGGCTCGGTGGCTCAGCCTGTAATCCCGCACCTTTGGGAGGCTGAGGTGAGTGGATTGCCTGAGCCCGCGGGTTCGAGACCCGCCTGGGCAGCGAGACCTCATCTCTACAATAAATAAGAAAAAAAAAAATCAACCAGGTGTGGTAGCGCATGCCTGTAATTCCAGCTACTCGGAAGGCTGAGGCGGAAGGCGGAAGGGTCGTCGGAGCCCAGCAGGTCGAGGCTGCGGTGGCCGGGAGCGGCCACTGCACTCCAGTCTGGGTGACAGAGTGAGACTCCAACTCAAAAAAAAAGAAAAAAAACAGGCGTGGTAGTGTACACCTGTAGTTCCAGCTTCTTGGAAGACTGAGGCAGAAAGATCGCCTGAGCCCAGCAGGTGAGGCTGTTGCGGTGGCCATGAGCATGCCACTGCACTCCAGCCTGGGTGACAGGGTGAGACTCCGGCTCAAAAAAAACCCAAAAACATGCTGAGTGAAAGGCAATCACATACCCCATATTGTATGATTCTGTTTATATGAAATGAATGGGCAGATCTAGAGACACAAAGTAGATTCATAGTTTCCAGGGCTGGAGGTTGGGGAAAACAAGGTGACCGAAAAGGTCTTGGGGACAAGTAAAGGAAACGTTCTAAAATTGATTGTGGAAACGGCTGCACAGTTCTGAATATACTCTCCACCACTGAATCCATGCACATTGAATGGATAATACATGCTGTGTAAATTATATTTCAACTTGTCATTTTTTAAAAGTTAAAAAAATTTATAATGGTCGTACGCTGGCTCATGGAGAATGTCTCAAAGAGCAAGTTCAATGGTGTTGAACTTGGGTAGATGACGCTTATCTCGGTATAACCACAGTCACAACTGTGTCAAGTTCTCCCCCTAGCCTGGGCTACAGGCAGTGGCTTCGGGTGCAATAGAATCGAGATGAACAGGGTCACGGCAATTAGTGGTAGCCCACCATCCAGCAGGGCATTAGTGGTCTCTGTTTAGTAATATCTATTCTGTGGAGATGGATGTACCCAATAAAGTTGGGGAAAAGAGTCACTGGCCCACAAATCCCAGGTAATCACATTAAGAGATCCAGCCTGCTCTGCCTAATGTTATTACTTTCTCCCTGAGGAAAGAAAGAATACAGCACTCCAGGGGACTACGTTTATTGTTTATACAGTCAACATATATTGAACAGCCACAGTGTGCAGGCCAGTATCAGACCAGGATTAAAAAAGTAGAAGACTAGTTCTCCCTCTGAGGGATCTCTGAAATTAATGGAGACAGTCTCTCTGCCCTCGGGGAACTCTCAAGTGGCTGGAGGAAGGAGTGTCAAGTTGCCGGGGCCTCCCAATCTGATGGAGAAAGGAGAAAACCACCCATAAAAGCTATTTAAGGACACTTATAAAGATAAGGGAAGTCATCCTGCAAATTAAGGACATAAGGGCTGTGGGACCTCAGTGTTAATTAAGGAGTTTTTAAAGTCCAAGTTAAGGATGTCTTTTTTTTTTTTTTTTTTGAGCTGGAGTCCCAAAAAAGCACTGATATATGTCACCCGGGCTGGAGTCCAGTAGCATGCTCATAGCTACTGCAGCCTCGACCTGCTGAGCTCAGGCGATCCTTCCACCTCAGCCTTCCAAGTTGCTGGAACCATAGGTGTGTGCCACCACGCCCGGCTACTTTTTGATTTATTGTAGAGATGAGGTCTCACCAAGTTGTCCAGGCTGGTCTTGAATCCCCGAGTTTAGGCAATTCTCTTGCCTCCGCCTCCCGAAATGCCAGGATTATAGGCATGAACCACCGTGCCCCGCTAAGGATGTCTTCTTACAGAAGGTGCTTTGGAAGAGTTGACAAACAGACATGGGGTGTGTTCCGAGGTTCTCTGCAAAGGGGGAGGGAGAAGTGAGGAAGGAGGAGGAAACCCAGGATGCAAAGGACTCAAGCAAAAATACTAAAACATGAGGAGGAATCTGGTTCTGTCCTGAAAGAGACCACAGTCTAGTTGAGTCACATCTAACAAGTGCATTTGAGCTAACAAGGGGTTTGGGGTGAGGGCAGGAGATGGACTGTGTTATAAAGATGGGGAAGTGTCTTAGAATCCCGGACTGTAAGCATCCTAGCGCCCAGGTCTGGGATTCTAGGTCACAGTCAGTGTCCCTTGCCATGTCATTGTGCCCCTGCCTCTTGGGCCACATGTAAAATGGCTGCGACGGCCAATAATGGCTCTGGATTTTCATGCTGTCCCACCCCCACCAAAAAAAAGCCAGGTTTTGAAAAAATGGGGATATTTCAGTCAGATTCCAGATTCCCCGAGGAAGGCACTCACTAGCCCAGCTAGAGTGAGCCCTCTGTGGCCAGGAGGGGTACACCGCCCCCGCCAGAAGACAGGACACAGTGGCAAAAGGCTTGGCATGGAATACTGCTCAGCAGCACAAAGGAACTAATTATTGGTTCATGTTAAAATCTCCAGGGAATTATGCTAAATGTAAAAGTTAAAATTGCGAATCATATTTTCGGAATCATATTTTCCCTGAGTAAGGTTG